CCGGGGTTTGCTCCTCCGCAGCCCGAGCTGGGCTTCGCCGCCCGCCGCCGGTGCCAAGGCCGGTTGTCCCAAACCGCCGAGGGCCTGCGACCGGGGTCCTTCCCTCTCACGGTTCGGTCAGGTGTAGGCCAATTCACTGGCACGAGGCGCGTGGCGACTCGTTGCGAGCCTTGTTTGGAAGGACACATGGGGTTTTTTTCCTAGCAATTTAGTAATATTTTATAGTCCATCCCCCAATCAAAGTCTTCTCTGAATCTAATTTCAGCTTCAGACTAAACTCTTTATTGCTTGCATTAGCAAAATAGACGATACGCACAGAACAGAGTGAATGTAAGAGAGCTTCCTCCTCCTCACGTGCCTTGATAGGATGAAGAGGGAGCTCCTCGGGAAGGTCCTGGACTTACGCAGTCCTACCAAAGCAGAAGCGGGAGAAAAAAACCCATAAATTCCCGTGGTTCTGCACTTAACCCATTTTCATTTGGTTCCTATAGGAAATGAGGCATAAGTTACTGCCTTCTCCACCCTCCAGCCCCCTCTGACACCTTGCAAATCCATTTTGATAGCAAGACGCGTCTCAAAGTTAGTATCTAATAGTAAGTGCCTACAAGCTTTGAGAAAAATCAGCGACTGGTTAGAGGAGAGCGATGCAAGTAAGTGTTTCTCTGCAGGAAGGGCTGCAGCGTGAGCTCAACAGTTATTTGTTTTCTCTGGCCCGCTGGCTGGCCACTCGGTTCACGTTGTCTGACCAAGCTGCACGGAATTGTCTGTAGCACAGAGCTGCCTCTTATTTCCAACCTACATTTATTCATGGCCGGTTCATCCCTTTTTGTTCTTGTGCCAACCTTTGCCATTAGCATAAACAGCTCTTTTCTCGCTCTGGTTTTTTTATAGATGGTGACTTTGTCTCTCTCAGCCTTCATTTTCCTCAGCTAAGCATAGGATGGGCTCGCCATTCCCTTGAGCCTCCTCGGGGCCCTCCCCTGCACCTTTTGCATCCCAGTTTCTCGTGTTTCTCTCCGAATGCCTTTCATGGCAGTGTACGATGCACAGAAAAAGTATTTCCTGTAGGTGGTCTGATGAACACCTCCTTTTCTCATTAAAAAGGGGAAAAGGATTTACTGACCTCCCTTCTCTAGACAGTAATTTTTTGAAATTTGCCTTCCCCCGTATCTTCGTTGTATCAATGGTCTGAAGATACTTTTGCAGAACCAAACTCTGGCCGGAGCTCTTACCTCTCCGGTCAAATCCAGCTGAGCTGTGCCAGGTAAGCACTCGGTGGTTATCTCGAGAAATTCTAAATTCATGGATTGAGCGCTGCAGCAAGTACCTTTGGGGACAAGGGCTGGGAAAGGATCGGTAGGGATGCTTGTACCAGGGGGGGTAGGTAGAACAGCCACTCACAATGGTCTGCAGAGATCAGTCGACATCAGCCATGTCAGAAACTCCTGGTTCAAAACGTCCTTGAAATCTTCTGAACCTTCCGGAGAAGGAAAACTGCAAGAAGCGTGCCATGCCGTAAAGAGAGAGGAGAGGCGACAATCCAGAGGCAGTGTATAACAGCCTCGTATCCCAATCCCCTCAAGGTCACGGGGATATTTTGTTTTCCTTCTCTTCTAATATCTTTGACTCAGATAAACCCCCAAAAAGCTTTAACCTCTTTTTGACGTGGTGAGCCCTTTGCACACAACAGCGCCTTGATCTTGGCGCGTTTGGGCTGCCCAGCGGTGAACACGTCTGTCGGGCTTGGGGGACGGGAAGGAGCGGGCCGGTGACCCCCTTGCACCCCACCTCCTCTTAGACCCAGCAGGCATCGAAACAAAGGCGGAGCGTGGGTGAAGCAGCATCTACGCTCCAAACTCACAAAGGAAAGTCTTTGTTTCCAAGAAGGACTTTCCCCTGCCAGTCGCGTTTTTTATTCGCAATTAAGGGGATTAAGGGAGACACTAGAAAACAATTTTTTTTTTTTCTAAAGTGAAGCTAATCAAGCTGATTAATCTCTAGCATCAAAGGTTTCCCTTCCCCCCTCCGCCCCCCCCAGACAGGTTAGACAAACATCTGTCAGGAACAGTTTAGGGCGCGTTGATCCTGCCTCGGAGCAGAGGTCAGACTAAATGACCTCTCGAGATCCCTCAAAGCCCTCATTTCTTTGATTTTGTATTTTCCGTATGACTAGCAATTCTCGGTGTCTGATTTTCTGAGTGCTTGGCCTGAGACACCTCTGTGAACCATAGCTGTGCTCATTTCCCCCAGCCCGGGTCATCCCCTGCACCCTGGTTTCTAAAGCAGTTTTCGTGCAAAGGCTGTAAAAGACAACAAATGCCCCCAGATTCTTGTTCTGGGTGACTGTCCCGTGACTCCCTGCAGCTAGAAATTCCATTTTTTTTGCCAGAAGACACTAGGATTGTGCCTGAAGGACGGGGGCTGTGTGCGGTAAGTGCCCTTTTTTCCTTCTTGCCACCATTTTAGGACTGAGCAGCAGCAACCTGTTAGGTTTTATAAAATCCCCTTCATGTTAAAGAAAGGAAATGTATCCCTCGTTCATTTGTTGGTGGCTTTTTTTAAATATAGAAAGTGCCTGAGAACAGATTTTTCGTTGGACTCGCGTCTGATTTGCTTTTTGAACATTTGTGACATAAGCTAAGATTGGGGGAGGTGAAACGGGCTATTGACAGGCTGTGGATATGCTGACACAGCACAAAGCCGCGCAGCGCGGAGATACACAGGCGTGCTCTCAGCCAGATGGCTCGGGAAACGAAGGCACGAGCTGCAGCAACAGAGCGCTCCATATGGGCTCGGTTACCTTGCCCAGAGGTACCTGTTCCGAGCGAGCTCGTATCGCCATCATTACCGCGATCGTGATGATTGCAAGATGATTACATCTTAAAAAAAAGGAAAATAAATCTGTCTGAGTGTCCCCGGTAAAGGGCACAGATCAGAAACGAACTGGGAAATTCCTCCTGGGTCGGGCGGGCATCCCTCCCGCACGGTTTCACCTTTAGATGACAGGCTTTTCATAGCAAGAGCTTGCAGCAGTGATACGAGAACTGTTTTGCTGCCTTTTTCTTTTTTTTTAAATGAACTGGTCAAGGGGCTGAGAGTGTGAACGAGCGGGTTGTTGGTTTTTTTTCCCCCTGCGGGTTGATTTGATCAAATCAAAATGTTTTGCAGAAACGTATCAATTTCATCTCGGTTTTCACTGGGGAGTTTTCTTTTGAGAGGGCTTTGTTTTGATTAGGTCAAAGCACTTCATTTTGACTTCTCTGTTTCGGTGATGTTGGGATGTTAGAGGAGTGGACGCGCTTCAGCCCTGTCAGAAGTCCGTGCTTCGACCTTATCAAAGCGCTGGGTTTTGATGGGGCTGTGCTGACATTGGCAGAAACCAAAAAAAGACCCCAATCGTCTGTATTTTTGAAATTTGTATTTTGTGAGAAATTTCAAAATTAGAGAGGCTTTTTTTGGTCTTTGTTCTTTTCCTCACTCGTGAGACAGAATTGCAAAGTGTGACATTTCCTGTTGAAACCCAAATCCTCTCGTTTTCCGATGTGACGCCGTTACCATCGATACCTGCCCCAAAACATTCCTTCAAAAGTTAAACACTTGGGCACCTCATCCCGCCCTGCGACCAGACTTTCTCTTTCTGTTCTCCGATCTCACCTCTGATTTTTCTTGGCTTTCAGAAGCCAGGCGAAGAAGTCTTTGGCTTCCTGGGTGCCCAGGTCCAATCTTTGGCCGTTCGCAGCCGATACCTGGGGCTCAGCTTCCCTCTTGTATGGCTCGATGATG